TGTTAATTCATCAACAACATTGAAACATCACAGGAAATTTGGTGCCTTCTCACTTTTCTACAGATACTCCCATCTGAAATGACTTTCAGGTATCTCTGCTATCATTCCATCAATAGCAATACCAGTCAGATGAATACGGCAAACCCAGACAACACATTCTTTCGTCGTCAATCTTTAGATATGTTGGGCAACATTTTACCAGAACTCATGAAACGACTGAGTTCATCATAGGAAGTGTTCCCACAAGATCTTCAATGGAATCTCAACCAATTTCATTGATATAAAATAATCACGAGGCACCATTTATCTTCACCCGAGATGAGGATACTATATGAAGATCCTGAACAAGAATTGGAATCAAACAGTATAATGCGGCACACAGATCCATCACGAAAGTTTCTACACAAAAACTACGATTTTCATTTCACGTGAAGAGCTACTATTGAAGATACAGGTATGACATATTGCAAAGTACTGTTCCAACATATGGGGTTCAACATCCACACATACCCTGATGCTCCTTCCCAGCAAACGAATCTGTTATATTCACATTACTGTTATATAACATCAACAGAACTTTTCCATATTAAATATTTATGTTAATATTCCATTATAATTCTGAAATATGTAGACCTCGTATTCATATGGAATATTCACGTAAATATTCCATAACAATTCTAAAATATGTGAACCTCATAATTATATGAAAATGTAACGTTACTATGATGTAACTGATATGTGGAAATTTGATATCAATATAGAAGCTTATATAATAGCGTCATGACTTTACTAGGACTCTTGGCCGTAAATTCTCTGCAGACTTGATTCTGCGCCAATTAAGGATATTCGTTGGGATAATCAGTACCCGTGGTCTCGTGCTGTAGCGTTCCCCACCGCGATGATTATTATTTTCCGCTCTCACGCTATAGCGTTTCTCCGTGACCACTTTGAGGTTATAAGTAATAAGTGGAGACTTAGAGACTGAAAGCATTTTCGGTATTTTCTAACTATTCCGAATGTTTTTCTTGTTTCCACCAATTTCCTGCGCTGTAGCGTTCCTCCTTCTCACATGCCCAATTCCCATTGGTTGACTACTTTGAGTTATAATCATAAGTGAAGACTGGGAGACCATAAACAAACTACACTGAAGGTATTTTCGGTATTTTATAAATATTTCGAGTTTTTTTTCTTGTTTCCACCTGCTGTGTTTGACGAACTAAACTAAACATAAAGTGTTTATAAGAATAAGTGAAGGTGAGTGAGAATGGAAGATGCCTTGAGATTTTCCAAACCTCTGTGAAAACAACAAGAATATTTATTTCTTGTTACTCATCTATCCTGGACCTCTTGAATACCTAGAAGTGATGACTCTGGTAGGTATTGATAGAAACCGAGGTGAAGTGAAATCTGGTCAAACTTCAATTCTCATATGAAATTGAACAACAACCAGTGATTGATTATGATGGCTGATGAAAACCCCAGTGGAAACCTCAAAGTGCCTCACATTCTGGATTGAAGATATATTAGTTCATGGTGGATAAGATATACTTTTTAAAACTCAAGAGGTGATAGAGATGGGAGAGACTATCTATATAGGGGCCACACAATGTTCTTGGTTAGGGCAGAGGGGAAACATTGAAGTCAGAGATTTGAAATCAATCAAAATATCATGGTCTTGATTATGGTTATATATTTATTTCAGAATTTTATTTGAAAAATGAAAAAGGAAGCAATATTCTTTCAGAATCCATCATTTTCACACTCCCCTCGATATCCCACTCTGATAGGTAAACCAGCAGGAGGGTGGTTCTGATTAAGTCACCAGAGGTTGAATGGAGGGTTGAATAGGGAGATGAAGAAGAAAGATATAACTTGATTACTCACAATTTTTTGAACTTTCGAAGTATTTTCAAAGGAAGTTGAAGGTCATGTTTTTCATTTGATAGCTGATGTTGTTTTATCATCTTCCATTTAGGACATTCCATTTTATTTGAAAAATGAAAAAGGAAGCAATATTCTTCCAGAATCCATCATTTTCACACTCCCCTCGATATCCCACTCTGATAGGTAAACCAGCAGGAGGGTGGTTCTGATTAAGTCACCAGAGGTTGAATGGAGGGTTGAATAGGGAGATGAAGAAGAAAGATATAACTTGATTACTCACAATTTTTTGAACTTTTGAAGTATTTTCAAAGGAAGTTGAAGGTCATGTTTTTCATTTGATAGCTGATGTTGTTTTATCATCTTCCATTTAGGACATTCCATTTTATTTGAACCTTATTCAGTGTACAATTTTTTCAACAATTATACTGTGTACTATAATGCATAATATTTGGAACAGAAAGTCTTGAAAATTTTTGAGCAAAGTTTTTTTGTACCATGTGAGGAGGATTGAAGTGAATACTGATGAGATAGGAGACAATAAACCATCAAGCATTTTATGACTAATCTGTCTCTGTTACATTTTTCTCACACAATCAAAAATTGCCAAATAACTCCTTTTCCACACTAGCCCACTACCACCTCTTATGCACATTTCTATAACCATATTATATCATCATCAGTGATATCAGTATAGATATTATAGAGTGTAGAGTTTGGATCACCTACTGAGATGATTACTAGGCATATGCCTGTGAAGTGAGTTGGTGAGGTGAAGAGGTTATTTGTGAAATTCTCATATTCATTTCGGATATAAGTCAAGTAGTTTCATCAATATTATATTGAAATGGGGTCATATTTGTAGCTGACATTTTTACATAATAGGGATGTGAAATTAACATGAAATCTAGATAATGTTATGTGATATTTATGTCAGATTGTTATATACGTAACATCTTATTTATGGTAATCAAAATATATGAAATATATATGAATGAGTGACATAATTGTTACATAATAATCATGTAGTATTTGTGGAGGACATTTCGCTATAACAGTGATGTAAGTTTTACATAACATAGTTACATAACACGTATTGTCAGTTATGTAACACTCATGTCAATTTCACATAATTATGTTTGCTGGGTGAATTTCATTCAGAGATACAGCCTATTTGCCTGATTGGTGTTTCTACACTCACTGATTCTCTAACAACATTGTAACATCACAGGAAAGTCATCGACCTTCACTTTTTTACAGATACACAAGAAATAATTTTCAGAGATTCCTACTATCATCCAATTGCTAGCAATACCAGTCAGACGCACTCAACAACAGTTCATTATCATTATTTAATATCGATGAAGTTGGTCAATATTTCGAGCGATGGCTGGGATCCGATTTTCCATAATGTATAATAGCCTATTTGAATATTTTTTCATTTACAAGTTTCCTCATAATTGATTCATGTTCTCCATGTTCTGGTACATTGTCATTAGCTCATATTTCCTCATCACTTGGAGCGCACGAAAGAAAATCTGAACAATGTTCGAAGAACATCGTGCGTTCCTTAAAGATAATAGGATATTGAATCTTACTGGGAATGTCTCACTTGATAAGAGAGAGATGATTTTCCGAATATTTTCGTCTTAGAAGGTAATTTATAATTATTGGTATACGTTGTTGGAATGTTTGGTGCTACAATATGCGTCAGATCATTATTATTTATCTCTGGAATCGCACGGAAGCAAATACCTATTATATCCGGAGAAAATCATGCATAGGCTACAAAAGGACGTAGGTATTGAATTTTGAACTTTTCAAGATCTCAGAAACACTTCCTATAGTAAACTTGGTCATTTTATGAGTTTTGGTGAAGAGTTGCTCGACATATTCAAGATTGGTGATAACAGAATGCGTTGTCTGGATTTGTTGAGTGCGTCTGACTGGTATTGCTAGAGATGGAAACTCTGAAAATTATTTCCGATGTTGTTAGAGAATCAGTGAGTGTGAAAACATCAATCAGGTGAATGGGCTGTATCTCTGAATGAAATCTAGGAGCATCAGAGTATGTGTGAATGTTGAACCCCATATGTGGGAACAGTACTCTGAAACATATCATATCTGTATCTTGTATGGTAGCTTTTCGCTTCTAGTTTTTGTGTAGAAAGTCTCGTGATGAATCTGTGTGTCGCAGTATACTGTTCGATTCCAATTCTTGTTCAGGATCTCCATATAGTTTCTTCATTTCGGGTGGAAATAAATGGTGCCTTCGAAAGCAAATACCTATTATATTTGCAGAAAATCATGCATAGGCTACAACAGAAGGTAGGTATTGAATTTTGAACTTTTCAAGATCTAAGAAACACTTCCTATAGTGAACTTAGTCATTTAATGAGTTTTGGTAAAGAGTTGCTCGACATATCCAGGATTGGTGAAAACAGAATGCGTTGTCTGAATTCGTTGAGTGCTTCTGACTGGTATTGCTAGCGATGGAATGGTAGTAGGAATCTCTGAAAATCATTTTCTGTGTATCCGTAGAAAAGTGAAAGGTTGATGACTTTTCTGTGATGTTACAATGTTGTTAGAGAATCAGTGGGTGTAGAAACACCAATCAGGCGAATGGGCTGTATCTCTGAATGGAACCTAGGAGCATCAGAGAATGTGTGGATAATGAACCCCATATGTGGAAACAGTACTCTGAAACATGTCATATCTATATTTTGTATGGTAGCTCTCCGCGTGAAATATAAATCCTAGTTTTTGTGTAGAAACTTTCGTGATGGATCTGGGTATCATGTACTGTTTGATTCCGATTCTTGTTCAGGATCTTTATATAGTATCTTCATTCTCAACTTCAGACTCAACAATGCTACGATCGATGATGCTGGTGTGAACGTCGTTCTAGTGAGCTCTCGTTATTTCAATTGAAAAGTGGTATTTATTTGGTGAAAAATTTAATTGCTTGTGTGAAAAAGTTCGTACATCGATCGAGATCGGGCTGAATTCACAGGTCTGTGATTTACTTGTGTTGCATAAAAGCAAACTTGAACAAGCACGTGGTTTAACATATATACACGTATATACAGCGCTGCCAGATCCCCTTTGGAAACTGAAAAATGATTAAGACAAGAAGCTCATCTAATTCACCTGAAGAGATCATGATCGAATCGATCATCAACAAATTGGTACCGAAACTAACCACTAAACTGGAGGAACACATCGTTAATCTTGGTAAAAAAATTGACATTATGGAAGAAAAGTTCAATGGAGCTATCACACAACTTTCATCTCTAGAATCCATCGTGAAATCTAATGATACGGTAATAATTGGAATGAATAGTAAATTGGATATTTTTGCCCAAAAGTTGAAAGCGAACTCATTGAGATTGATAGGCATAAAGGAAGAACAGGATGAGAACCTGTCTGCAAAAGTGCTCGCAGTATTCAATGATGCTCTAAAAGTCAGGTGTTCCCTGTTGGAAATTAATAATCTATTCAGAATCGGCAAACCTAACAAAGATGACACAAAATCTAGAACGATAATTGTAGAATTCGTGTCATTACTAAAAAAGAATGAAATACTGATGTCACGGAAAAATTTGATTAATTCAGGAATATATGTGAACGAGAACCTGAGCAACAAGAACTATCAACTTCTTAGAGATGCAAAACAGAAATATGGGAACCGAGCTGCTTGGTCAAAGATTGGAAAAGTGTTTGCGAAACGTGACAACACCGTGATTGCGATTAAGGAAAACGGTGATATCGCCTAGAATATGTTTCTTGTGTATTCCTGATATTCTTTTTTACTTGAATATAGTTCTTCTGTTATTTTTATATCCATTCAGGTAAAGCCCAGTCTATACTGGCAATTTGTAAGATGTAAGATTAATTGAATACGTTACTTGTACTGATTTGGTAGCATTCAAGATTGCTTATTTACTCATTATTTCTATTGTCTATATCCTTCATGAAATAGCGTGTTCTAACAACCACTATGTATATCTCGAGATGTTGAATCAATTGGCGAGAGCTGACCAGCATATGCTTAAGATATTATGTCGACAACACTTAATGTGTACTATCAAAATTGCAGGGGACTGAATACTAAATCTAATGATTTTTTTAGGAATTCTCTGAGTAATGACTTTGACATTATTATAGCTACTGAAACATGGTTACGAGAGGGGTTCCAGGACGGAGAAATAATAGATACGAAGACATTCAATTTGGTAAGATCTGATCGACATCTTGAACTCACTGGGAAATCTGAAGGAGGCGGTGTACTCATTGCCTCTGAAAGAAAATATAAAATTTTAAATATAAAAAAGTGCAGTACCTCTTTTGAAAGCGTAATTATTGAACTGAAGGTACATAACACTAAATGTACTTTTTGTGGTATATATGTACCTCCAGGAAACGTAATCGGCATATATGAATCAGTACTTGATTTTCTGCAACAACACATAGTTCACAGTCACATAGATATAGACAAATTATACATTTTTGGGGACTTCAACATACCGGAAATAACTGGTATTATGTATGATACTCATATATCTAATGGTGTCCTTGATAACTTTCAAGAATTTATTGACCATAATGGATTGAAACTTTTTAACGATATTAAGAATCCCCTAGGAAGAACGCTTGACCTAGTAATTGCTTCAGAAAACAACTGGAACAATTGTACAGTGAGTAGAGACTATTTGCCATTTGTCAATGAAGATCCGCATCATCCGGCGCTGGATATTACCATAAAAATTTCGTGTAGCACAAAGTTGAATGACAGATTTCATCTGAATGAATCAAGGTACGATTATAGGAAGGCAAATTTTCTTGAATTGGCTGAAAGTATTAGAGATGCAAACTGGGAGAGAGTATTGTCTGAGAGAACAAATGTGAACGTAGCCTTAGGAGAATTCTATAACATATGGAACAAACTGATAGATGATTGTGTGCCCAAATTAGTTGTTTATGAAAAAACTCACAGCTTTCCAGTATGGTTTACGGAAGAAATCGAAGAATTGTTGAAAGAAAAAGAAAAATGTAGGAGATTGCGGCTTATTTCTGATTTTTATTGCGAAAGGTATTCAAATTTGAGAAAAAGGGTTAGAACGTTAATCAGATCGGAGGAAAGAAAATATATGAAGAAAATTGAACAAGATTTCACAAAGGACATAAAAAATTTTTGGAATCATATAAACAATAAACGGAATAATAATTCTGATCTTAGTAATAATTACATTTATAATGGAAACCAGGTTAAGGAAGAAGAAACTGCGGATGCATTATTTGCAAGTTTTTTTTCATCCGTTTATTCATCGATTAAAGCATCGTATGCAATAAACCCCACAATTGTTGACAATACCATAAATAATGATATACTTGTACTCAAATCAATTACTGAAGGAGATTATAATAAGGCTGTAAAAAAATTGGAGCCGAAGAAGCAGCAGGGATAGATGGAATTCCACCATATATCCTCAAAGCTTGCGCCGATTGGATAAGGCTTCCTCTCGCGCATATTTTCAATCTAATTATTACTTCTAACGTCTTTCCTACAATATGGAAAACATCTATTGTTACACCAATCTTCAAATCTGGAAACAAGATGGATATTGAAAATTATAGACCTATATCTATAATGTGTGCACCAGCAAAATTATTTGAGCAAATCTTATATTCGGGTCTATATCAGTTTCTCGAAAACACGCTAACACCTCAACAACATGGTTTTGTGGCAAATAAGTCAATAACTTCAAATCTGTTGATTTTCACCAATAATGCATACGATGCTTTGAATAGTAAGTGTCAACTAGATACTATCTACACAGACTTTCGCAAGGCATTTGACCTGGTTGACCATGATGTATTGTTGGGGAAACTGGGCAGATTTGGTATATCACGCGACCTAACTGAATTAATTAAAAATTATCTAAAGAATAGAATTGTGGTGGTGAAACATAATGGCAATACCTCCGGTAAATTTGAGGCTAACTCTGGTGTTCCGCAGGGCTCGAATTTAGGACCTTTGCTATTTCTACTTTTCATTAATGATCTACCGTCAGTAGTGAAGTATTCAGATTGTTTATTATTCGCGGATGATTTTAAGATTTTCAAATCGGTACGTACAGTGAGAGACTGTGTTTCTTTGCAGAAAGATTTGAATAGTATATTTGAATGAAGCACTTTGAATAAGTTATTTTTTAATGTGAAAAAATGTTTTTCTCTAACTATAACCCGCAAGAAAGAACCAATAATATTCGACTATATGATCGGTGGAGAATCTTTAAAGCGTTGTTTCGAAGTGAAAGATCTTGGAATTACATACGATCAGTCTTTATCATTTAGTAAACATGTACAAAATATAGCAAAGTCTGCGAATCGGCTACTGGGATTTATAATGAGACAAGCTTCGAACCTCAAAAATATAGAAAGCATCAAGTATATTTATTATAGTCTAGTGAGACCAAGTTTAGAATTTGGTGCACATATTTGGTTCAATGAATACCAGTCTACATTATCCCTATTGGAAAAAATACAAAATAAATTCTTGAGGTTTTTATATTTCAAAAAATATCATGTATATGCAAATTATAACACAGTGAGAACTATTGAGCTCAGAAATGAATTCAAAGTTCTCTCTTCAGATGACAGACGAAAGTTAGCTATATTAATTTTCTTGCATAAAATTATAAATAACGAGGTCAATTCACCAGAAATCCTATGCCGCCTACGCTTCAATGTTCCTCAAAGAAGAACACGTACTTTAGTCATGTTCAACATTCCGTTATTATCCACAAATGCTATGGCGCCTCTCGTATCCATGTGTAGATTAGCTAATAATTTCAATTCACTCACGAGCTTAGAATGGACAGACTCACGAAATACTTTCCGCAATATTGTGCTGAGGCAAATTATCAATTTATCACTATGAGAATGAAAATGTCAATGTATCCTACTATGTCAATATCCCTACTATATGTTGTATAGAATTGATTATGGTAAAATAAGTATTCAGCCCCATTATGTCAATCATGTTTCAACTATGTACTGTGTGATTATGTTTATATTACCTATTGTAGATATATCTTTATATAACATTATCCATGTAATTAGACCTTACAGGTCTGTTTGGGTATAAATAAATTAATAAATAAATAAATAAATTTCGGGTGAAAATAAATGGTGCCTTGTGATCATTTTATATCAATGTCGGAGTATTTTATTTTTTATTTTTTATGTTCTCCTTTTGAATGTTCATCGGATATAATTCAATGTTCGACGTGGCAAATAGCCGGGAAAGTAGTTGTTTTCTGTTGAATAAACTGAAAAAGAGTACATATTCTCATCACACAGAGAATGCGAATTCTCAATGTATTGCTTCATATTAATATATATATATCCATTTTTGTTGTCCATGATTTATCTAAGAATATTCCTTTTCAACACATTCATACCCAATCAGAGGGTTCGAACTTGAACGATGGAAACTTGTGATTTTCATGAACCTTTAATCGTAGATTCGTAATAGAGTCTCATACACCCAAAAACTAAAAATATCGTTTGGAACATTCCAGCACTTCCCTGTGTTCGTAGAATGAGAAAAAATCTTCCAAATGAGTAGATATAATGCAGTTGCTTTGTTGATTCCATGATACCTATATTCATTATACAGGGTGTTGCGAAATTTGACCGACAACGTTTGATAGGTGATAGCCCTCGTGATTTGATAATCACTGGGATAGGGACATACGGTCTCCAAGTGTTCAGTTCTCGAGAGACAGGTTATTGAAGTCCATCATAGGACCATTGACTATCAATAAGGCATTTGAACTTTATGAGAGGAGCTTATTTTTGTTGAGTGCGCGCCTACAGGAAAAATTCTTCTTGACAGTGCCTCCGCTTTCAATTTTCCATGCGGAAACCAAATGAGATTTCAGTGAATGACAATTATATTTGAAGAGTACTACATCTGATCTGTGCATCTTATCGACTAGTTTTTCAATTTTTGATTCCATAACGTAGAAAAAAATTCACAAAATCAGTCAAAAACGCACTATTTCACGGTTGTTCATAAATTAGTCGATGTTGAAAAATGATGAGATGCATCGATTGCACCTTTGACTACACAGAAAAAAAACATTGAGCCTCTAGGATGATCCATAACCATAGGGGAACTTGGGAGCGGTACCTATTTCATTGGCGGTGGCGCTGCGGAATATGCCCTCTTAACAGAGAACTGGTGATTATTTTTACTATTAATATACCTGTGTGAGAAGCAGAAAGGAATTGTCTCTCTACTTTGAGGAATAACGAATAACGGCGTCGCCCTAGCTTCTTAGGTAAGGCTCTAGCCGTTCGATATCTGAAGTTAAGCAGTGTCGAGCGCGGTTAGTACTTGGATGGGTGACCATTCGAGGAAACGCCGCGTAAGCCCGTACATCTGTAGCGGAATAGCATATCATAGCTACAGCTACCATATCAATAAGCACAAGATATGGTACGGATATGCCGTCCTTCGGAGAAGACGTTAAGCCGGCGGTGCCGAGGCCATGGATGTTGGACTCGTTAAAGATCCCTACCTCTGGTTGGAACACCAGAGGATTCGGCAAAATTTCCGGTTGGAGGTATAGTGTGCTCACGGGCGTCGGTGATTAGCCTCAGTAGCAGAAAAAGGCCGAAAAACGTGTTTTATAAAAATCCTAAGGGAAAACCACTCAATGAAATCCTGATGTATCAGTATGTAATAATAATGTGATCAATATGA